TTTCTGCGTTAAATAGTATCAAAAGGAGCAAATCGAGGACGAGTTCGATCGTTCGAGACTTCGTTTTCTCAAATTTTTCAGCTTTTCGTCTATTCGAAAGGAGGTATAATTCTTGATTATTATTATAATTGAGTCTGAGATTTTTATTAGTATAAATTCGAGTATTTTTCGAGTTAAAACAATTCAGTTTAAGTATACCAGTTTAATTCCGGACTTAGTTTGATTTTTAGAAAAATCTCTAGAGTATTCCTTTATATCCTGCTAAAATTTTTTAGAGCGTCCACAAAATCCCTTTGAGCGCCCTTCCGATGCCGGAGTGGGGGTGGTGCGCCGCGAGATGGCCGGAGTGGGGGTGGTGCGCCGCGGCAAATTGGGTCCTCCATGGGATGACCGACTGGTTTTGCCACTTCTCATGTGTTATACGAAATACACACGTTACTACCATGTGCTTTAAAAAATGCATGACACCCCCTTGTATTTAAGTAATTGTTGCACGATTTACCCATTCCGTCCAACTTAACGGCGCGAACACAACACCTTCCATACATGACAACATTTTTCAATTTTTTATTGTACAGAATTATTAATTCACCTTTATGTCCTCCTAAGTTTTATTGAGAAAATTGAAATTTAATCAAGGGAAGAATTTGAACCAAGTCTCAAGGAAAGGAGGTTGCCCACTAAACCACTAGGCCACATAGGTCGATGTGTAAGAATTGAACACAAATGGGGTTTATAACACTTCAAACAAATTAATAAACTAAAATAAAAAATATAACAAGTTAATTTAATATACATTAAATAATAATAATAATAATAATAATAATAATAATAATAATAATAATAATAATAATAATAATAATAATAATAATAACAACAACAACAACAACAACTTGCAATATAATAAATTAAAATAAAAATAGTAAAAAATAAAGCAAAGAAAAAAATTAATATAATAGCATAAATTAAAATCAAAATAAATTATATATTTTATTAAAATATAAAGAATTATATAAATTTGGAAATGAACAATAATATTAAAATTAAATTTAAAATAATATAATGGATAAATTTAATATACATTAAATAGCAATAATAATAATAATAATAATAATAATAATAATAATAATAATAATAATAATAATAATAATAATAATAATAATAACTTGAAATAAAATAAATTATAATAAAAGTATGCAAAAATAATTAAAGTGAAGATATATAAAATTAATTATAGTAGCATGATTCAAAATTAAATAAATATATAATTTTGATTTATAAAAATAAAATTAATTACATAAATTAAATAAATTAATTTAGGGTAAATAAATTAAAAATAATATTACCGGAACAAAATTGCATGTTTTAAAATTTACATTATATTGTTTAAAAAAAAAATTATTTCGAAATATTATTTCATTGAGGCGGAGACCGTGCAAATTAAAATTTATATTTTTCTTGCATTGTAATGCGGTTGAGTTGTATAAAGGACTATTAATTCATATATGGGAATTAGTGGGAACATGCATGTGTGATGCATTTTAGAATATGAAAAGTGAGGATTGAAATATTCCATCATTTTTCCAATAAAGCAAAACATTGCTTTAATAACTTTATATAAGAGAATCAATTAAAGTGGTCTCATCTAACGTTCAATGTGAGGGAACTGAGTCCAACTATTAAACCATACTAGCATTCGATCTTGTGCACATGCACATATATAAATAAAATTTTATATGTTATATGTATGTCTGTGTAATATTTAAAATCATAAGTTAGATAATCACATCACATTTTATAAATTTTATCATTAGTAAAAATGAACGATAAACTATAACTTACATATTAATCTTTATATTGATTGCAGTTATATGATTTTTGCAACAATTATATGATTTTTGCAATATTTTTTTATTATGAACAATTGATCTGGTAAAGCAGTATTGAAAAAATTGTTATTATTATTATAGCAAATGTCTACGAAATTTTAAAAATTTTGGTTATATCATAAAAATTAAATAACTAATCTTAATAAAAAAACATGCTTAATGAGTTAAAATAAAAATAAATAAATAAATAAATAGTTTGAAAAAATAACTATAATACCATTTAATGTGATTTTATGATTTATTAGTATTAGTTGTTGTATAATACAATAAACTAAAAATATAAATACTTAAATAATGCAAAGTAACGTCTTTTGAAGGAGAAAAATGTGAGGTTTTATTAAATGTTTTTGGCTAGTAATTATATAGATATAGATATAGATATTAATTTCAATTAATTTATTTGTCTATATTTTATATCCATGGACAATACTTCTAAATTCCTTAATGCAGTTGTTGAATTAGCTTATAGCAAATAAAATGATTGAATTAGTAGCTTTGGCTAAAACATTCCTATATATTTTTTTCATAATTAGTTTTTTGAATTTATAAACTATTTTAAATTTCTCCTTCCCAAGTAATTAAATTAGAAGTCATAAGAAGTAAAACAAAAAAGTTATAATAAGTGAAATTTATATTGCTCCAAAACGTTTATTACCAAAAAAAAAAAATCTATAATTTTTATCGCCGGCCAGACTATACCACTACAAAAAAAAATTATTATATTCCAACGAAAAATTTTTTGGTAATATATTCCATCGGATATTCCAATGGTATAGCTTCCGTTGGAATAATTCCAACGGAAATTCCAAAGAAAATATTCTGTGGTAATGTATTTTTCATTGAAATCTTAGATGGATTTTTATGGTTCCAACGGTTATATTTCCAACGACTTTTCACAGTAAGAATTTTCGTTGGAATGTGCAATTTTCGTTGGAAGTTTTATTTTCACCACCGTTGGAATCATCAAAATCAAGCGGAAATTCCAATAGAAAATTTATTCCATCGGAAATAATAGCATTGAAATATTCATTGCAATTGTCGTTAAAATTCTATTGGAATACATTTCCGTTGAAATTTCATCATTTTCTTGTAGTGTACATGAAAAGTATTTGACCATATAGACAAATGTATTTAGATATTTTTTTTTTTCTTTTTATTTGTAGTTCTCATATTTATATTGTCAAAGGAAGGTAAAAGAGATCATTTTGACATCTGAGATGGGATATATTAAGCAATTACACTGCCAAAAGGACGATTATTCCCTTTTTATGCTACTTGACTTGTCGTTCTTGCTGGATTTTAACATTTGTTTGCTAGTTGTGAGCACGTGCATTGTTTTTTACATTCTTCATGCATCTTAAATTTGTACCAAGTCTACAAGCTATTTACACCTTTGCAGTGACTTGTGATCATCATTAGGTCACTAGTTCAAACATTCTTAAGCCATCCAAAGACCCTAGCTCAAGTTAAGCTACCACGGTGAGTGATCTGGCCAACCTCCGGACAATCTTCCCGAACTATTTACTTGTCATGTGATCGAATCCAAACTCAATGTTGGGCTTATGCTGTTAATTTGAACGAGTCTGACTCGGTTTGGTTCGAGTTCGACTCAAGTTTGAGGCCTTAACGAGCCGAGATAGAGCTCATTTAAAGCTCGTTTGGTTAATGAGTCGAGTTCACCTCGGCTCGATAACACCTGTAAAGTCTAGAAAAAAAATATATTTTATATAATTTTCTATAGTTCGACTCGTTATATACTCGAACTCGGCTCGTTAATAATGATAAACGAGCCGAGGTCGAACTCAATTATTGGCTCGCTTATTTAACGAGTCAGGCTCGAGCACTATAAACTCGAGCTCGGCTCGACTTGTTTACATGCTTAGCTGGGCTGATAAACCAGACCCACTAGTAAGCTTAGTTGGCTATAGGACAAGGTGTGAATGTAAAAACATAAAACATAAGTAACCAATTCTATTGAGACATATAGCAAAGATTTTTGGTTAAAGTACAATCAAATTCCATGGTGAAATATCTTCATCTCTCAATCAAACATATGTCAATGTCACAAACATCAACAAGAATTATTTAATTTAAAGGTGGGGTTTCTTCATATTAATCAAACCAAATGAGCCACAATAGAAATATAAATATTCCAATGCTTGGTGATTGGAAGTAAATAATAAATAAACAAACAAAAAGCAAAACAATTATGGGAAAATCATTCCAATGGACTCCTACTTTTTCTATCTGGCCCTCATCATATGTGTCATCATACACTCTTGACCAACCCAACCCCAATCCCAACCCTACCCCCCACCCCCACCCCACCCAAATTTTACTTTCACCGCCTCCCAAAAAAAAAAGTAAAAAGTGAAAAACTTTTATTGGGACAATAGTAAATATGTAAAGATACATCAGGTAGATGTGTACCCATATCTAAAAATACCTGAGCCAAGTCGAACTCGAACTCTTGACACTAAAGCATCTCGAGCCTTAGCTCGAGTATATAACTAAACGAACTCGATCAAACTTTGACTCAGCTCGTTTATAAAAGATATATAGCCGAACTCAAGTTTTAACGAATTGAGACATCAGAGTTATGAAACTAAAGCATCTCGAGCCTTAGCTCGAGTATATAACTAAACGAACTCGATCAAACCTTGACTCAACTCATTTATAAAAGATATATAGCCGAACTCAAGTTTTAACGAATGGAGACATCAGAATTATGAAACTAAATCAAAGCCTTAATTAATTTCGGAGTCTAATGAGCCGAGCTCGATAGGCTCATTAACTCAACGAGCTCAAACTCGGCTCACTACAAGTTGCATTACTTAAGTAGGATGAAAACCTTACTCAGGCCTTCATATTCTCTTCATTTCATTCTTCCATTCCATCACTGCATTTGATGAGAGAGAAAGAGAAAGTCATCTTTTTAGCTCTTCTCCTTTAATTTCTGCATCAAAATCAACAACCTATATAGTGCTAAATTGTTTGAGCTTTCTTTGACATCATATATATATAGCAAAAGTCATCTTTTGTAGCTTATATCTTCTCCTTACATCTCTCATCTTGCAAAAATTCAATAACTATATATATATGGCAAACGAAATGATCTCAATCGGCGGCTCGTCTCACTTAAATCCCGGCTGCTTCAATATCGAATCCGATCCTCCTCCGGTAAAGAAGAAAAGAAACCTCCCGGGCACCCCAGGTTCTTCTTCTTCTTCTTCTTCTTCTTCTTTTCAAGTTCAAATATATTCCATCTTCTTTATAACCTAATATTTTAAATAACAATAATAATAATAAAAAAAAAAAAAAACAGATCCTGAAGCTGAGGTAATAGCACTTTCCCCGAAAACCCTAATGGCGACCAACCGGTTCCTTTGCGAGATATGCGGTAAGGGCTTCCAAAGGGATCAGAACCTTCAGCTTCACCGGCGAGGCCACAACCTGCCGTGGAAGCTGAAGCAGCGTACGGGGAAAGAGGTTCGAAAGCGCGTTTATGTTTGCCCGGAGAAAACGTGCGTTCACCACCATGCGTCGAGGGCGCTCGGAGACTTGACCGGAATCAAGAAGCATTATTGCAGGAAGCACGGTGAGAAGAAGTGGAAGTGCGAGAAGTGTTCGAAGCGCTATGCGGTGCCTTCCGACTGGAAAGCGCACTCGAAGACGTGCGGGACCCGCGAGTACAGGTGTGATTGTGGAACCATCTTCTCAAGGTATGGAAATCATTAAACGCTGTGTTTGGTAATCAAATAAGTTACGTTATAGCTTATGTTTGGTCAGCTTATGAACTTGTTGTCGTCAAATACGTTGCGGACGAACTCTTTTAAATAACTCGAGCTTATCTCATAATTTTTTTTGTGTATTTGTGTGTGCTAGTTGCTTTGTTTGTTGTTGTTTTATGGTTATTGTTCTTGTTATCATGTGTTCCTTTTGTGTGTTTGGTTGAATCATTCCCTAGGCCAGTTAATATAGGTCAAATATAGAGTTTTTTTTTTTTTTTTTTT